CTGAAGATATCATTAGAAAATAAACAATATGTATATTATCAAAGCAATTGGACTTGCTGTTTTCAACAAGAATTCAAAAATATCACTTTTTACAAAAAATAACACAAATATTTATCAAAACTGGATACTTGAAGAAATCATCATCAGAAATGAACAAATCTGAGAGAGGTCCACATGTAGTACCTATATATGTAATATCAAACCAATCGGACTTACGTTTTTTAACAAGAAGTTGAAAATATCACTTTTTACCAAAAATATTTATCAAAATTAGAGAATTGAAGATATTATCCCAAAATGAACAAATCTGAGAGATCTACCTGTAGTACCTATATATATATATAATATCAAAGCAACTGGACTTTCAACAAGAAGTTGAAAAAGTGAAAAGTTGACACTGACAATGAACGACGACAATTGACAATTACTCATATGATAAGCTCCGCTCGACAAAGTCAACAGCAGAGCTAAAAGTTGTGTTTTCGCATTATTTGAGAAGCAAAACCATATTTTTTTGACCTAATATTTGATGACAAATGTAGAAATGTCAATGACTTACACGTATTCAGTGACGGCCGGATTGCTCCATTTGGCAGTATTTGGAGATTTGCATACACAGTACCAAAACTGCAAAAAACAAAAAAAAATAAGAAGTGATATTTTCATCAAAAACTGAAAATCATTTCAAATATTTACATTTAGCCGACTTAATACTAGCTCAGAATTCTTTCAAGACCTCCAGACATGTCTCATATAAGTAATTTAGATAAATACTACAAAGAATAAATTGTAATTATAAATGGCAATGATACTGACTTTCAATATTTCAAATTAAAGGCAAATCTAGCTGAAGTTATGCATGGGTTAGACGATGAGGTTATCATGAAAACACCGCAAAGTATGCACGCAGGCAGTACTGTGAACGTATCAACCGATGCATAGCCTGAGTGCATACTTTGCGGTATCAATTTTTATAATAACCATATTATTTTAAATCTTTTTCTTGCTTGTAGTATTAATTTAATGCGAGATTTAAGCCCAGAATGGGAATGAAATAAACGTTTATGTTCAGGGACAGGATTCTATTACCACACGTTATAACGCTTCTGCATTCAATGTAAACAAAGGAGAATGTTCAAATGTGACATAACCATTAACATGTCAATGTTGCTGATATGTTTTTTTACAGATTGCCAAATTTTATTTTTTCCATGCTGGATGTATAATAATAACCAATGTTACAAGATTATTTTCCAATTTATAATACATGAATCAGAATTATTTTGTGATTATAATTTTTTGATTTGTGATTATTCCATAAAAACTAATTGACCCTCTACCTACCTTCTCCTGGTAATATTTCTGAATCCTTTAATGCCAATCCTTGGCCCATTTCCAGCTCCGAATTCAAACTAAGAAAAACAAAGAGTAAAAAGCCGGACAGGGTTTGGTTAAGGGCTGATGAATTATTCTCTGGGACTGACTATTTGAAACTGATCTGAAAAAAATTGGGGAACCCAAACTTGGTAGGGCTTGATACTACATGTATAAAGAAAGTCATTGTTTCCATGGAAACAAGTCTGAGAACCACTACATTTTATATGCTCTTATTCGATTGTTTGATGGAGCCATTAGCCGAGTTCATATTATGGGATCTTGGCAATTACATAAAAACCCACTCAGGATTTACTTGGCTCGTGGCGAAATCACGCCCACATTCGACGATCTGTTATTTGACACAAACATGGCAGATGATATGCATTTGATGACAATAATAATTATTTTCTTGACATGGTATTTATTATGAGTCATCATGCACATGAAAAGCAAAAAAAGGATTCAATTATTTATTGATATAGCATTGCGAAAAGAAAGAAACAAGTTGCAGCTGCACCACTGAGGGCATGATTTTGGTTTGTGTCGAGCAGTCAAATCGCTATTAAGTATGACTGAGTATGATAATTTTCCGCCATGTGCCGGCTCAACATGTGCCAAGATCTGTAATGGGAATGCCACTATTAGCTAAGCCGATTATTAGGAATTTGTAATTTTCAACATTTTAGGTGCTAACAAATCTCTTGTATATATCAGACAGTGACTATGTCATCCATCGAACAAAAAAGTCACCAACCTCAGCCCACCCTTTTGATGATAGGACTCTTCTCAATGAAGCCGTTATTTGTCCACCACCAGTTCCATTCTGTGTTTGTAGATTGCCAGCCAGAGTTCCCGTCTCTGTTACAGTCAATGGGGCTTCCACAGACTGGTTGATAGACATATGACTAACTTCAATAGTGGGAGTGGAGCTTAAAAAAATAAATTAACCAAAATTTGATCTACTTCATTTCATAAAGGCATTAATGTTTTTATAGAAATTTTTAAACAAATTTTAAAAACATTCACTCTAGAAGACCTTCAGATTCCATTCAAATCCCCCCAAAGCTGCTTTCATGGATGTACAAGCCATTTGGTAATGTCCATTACCCACAAGTCTTTGTGGGTTTTTTTTTTATGAAGTAAACCCACACCATTCCTTTTAAATTAAAAAATTCCACTCACCCAAATTCATCTTCATACTCTCCATAATGGTCAAATAGTTCAGTAGCATCGATACCAACTGTTACGCTGCCCTACAATGAAGATATCATATTTGGAATAGCAGAGCCAACAAAGTAGTTACACACAACTCTCAGTTTTCACATTAAATTTTACATGACATTAGCCTTGTGTAAAGTCACTTTGCCTATCCAATTGAGTCTAAAACAATATTCTTTAAGATTTTGTCATTTTTATGTTATATATTTAAACAGTAACAAATATTCAAATTCACAGCTACATACATTTTACTCTTTTTGTGTATTGTCTCCATGTTTGAAAACAACTTCCGTTGACAATTTTCAAATTTCACACTCAGTCTTAAATTTCAGCCTCTCTAAATTTTAAAATTCTTCTTCTAACAATTCAGTGACCACAAACAAAATATTTTATGATCCAATTAATTATGGTATGTTTTATTTCATCTGCCAACAAGACCTCACAACCAATCATTTGAATCTTCATGTGTAATTTGTCTAATAAGTTCACAAAAACAGATTTGAACAATACACGTTATGAAAATCAACTCATCAAACTACCGGTAGTCCCAAATATATATTGATTCAAATAAAAAATACTATAATTATAATTATTATTCATTATCATATCATATATTATCATATAAAATAAATTTGATGTTTCCAGTAACAGGTTGCAAATATACTGGGTAGGTAGGGAGTGATTTTTAGTTTGTTTTATTTCTTTAGTTTATTTTTCCAAAGAGATATTTGCGGAACATAATCATGGCTTTGCTACAGATGTGAAATGGCATATAAGATAGTGTAAAATCATATATTTTCACTATTTTGATTTTTTTTAGCATATTGACTGTGTTTTGACTTCACAAATTTGTCAAGGAAATAACAAGTTTTATTGTTATTTTACGTGTACATTTAGATATAATTTAGCATATTTTATTTATCAACCAAAAAATGAAATTAAAACCCAGTGAATAATTAACGCATTTGCAATAGTTATTGTGATAAATTTCCTTCATATACCTAAATGCAATGCATTTACTACATAGAAAGAAGTAACAAATTACAACATTAGCAATCATAGCAAATTTGCATAAAAATGAATAATTTTGTGGTCATTTGCATAATATAAACTTTTTGATTTCCCTGAAAACATGAGTAGGTAGGGTCACATGAAACACAGAATTTAATAACAATATGGCCCAACAAATATTACAAACAATGTTTATCAATGGTAACAATGAAGGATAACAATGAACATTTTTCTCAGGAGCCCATTGATGTGGTTTATGATTAATGTATAAAGTTTAAAACTTTATAATGTTTTAAAAACTCAACGGGAGGTTGAAACCGCACAATGAGTCATAGCAACTGTAAATTTTATGTCACTAGTGCGGATGACTACAATCTTGGAATGATCTGAGAACATCGACAAACATCAAACAGTTTTGCAAACAAAAGTTGAACTTTATAATTATTTACAAAAATTATAGTTTGGCACATCTATGGGTAACCTGAAACCATTTTGTTGGTTTACTGTTTAAACACACAGCATATCAATTACCCTTGGATTGGTTCTTTGGTTTAATCGCCGCTCTTGTCGTTCCCTTTGCAACCGTTCATATTCTTCTTGTATTTCAGCTGGTGTTCTGGTTCTCTCAACCAGTTCCCATCCGGCCTCCAAGCCTTTTACACCATATATATCATATATGGCTCTTGATTGTGGATTGCTGAGTACTGAGGAGAAATATAAGAACAAGCAGCCTGTCGGCTGAGATAGCTCCGCTGTTAGCAATG